GCACTGAGAAGATGGGCTGGGATCCTGGTTTATCTCTTTAGAAAACTTGCCTGTTTCAACCTGAGTGGAGGATGCTTACTTTCCTTTGGATATTTTTACTTTGCAGTTCCATAGCTCTGCGCCTTCTGATTGACTATAACTAGAAATTAACCAAATGGCTAACCTTTTCTTCTAACTTTTTCTTATAATTGGATGAAGTGGAGCCATGTTTACTAACCCCAGAGAATTAAAGTTGACCAATAGAAGTATGACTCTTTTTTGAATTGCTTTATGTTTTGCCACATGGCCAACACAGCTATCCCTGAATACATTTGAAAATACCAAACTTTGCCATAGGGGGAAACTTTACCAAGAGGGATCAATAGACTAGAACTTAATTCTTAGTGCTTTTACTTCCAAAGATATAAAACTCTTTCATTTGGACCACAATAATATAACAATAAAACTTTATTTGTATTCTGCCCTATCTCCCCAGGGGGACTCAGGGCGGAATCCAACATACAATGGCAAACATTCAATGCCTCTATAAAACAAGCAAATACCAACAAAAAATCCCAGAAACACCCCACATATGAAAACAATATAAAACCTAACATCAAATTAAACCTAATGTCAATAAATTAAACCTAACATCAGTAAATCGAACATATGTAGCTAGACAAAAATTATATAATGACATAAAATCTGAACAAACATACAACCTTAATTTACAAAAGCCAACTGGAGTTCACGGAGTTGTGTGGGCTAGTTGTGTGGCCAATGATGGTAACTGGGCTGACATGAGCTAGCAGAGCCCAGATACAAAATAGTTATCAACCAGGGCCCAATACTGATCTCTTATTATCTAATCCTCCTCCTTTCAATATGCTAATGAGCAGAAGTAGGTCTTCAATTTCAACAGAAAGGAAGAAACCATGAAAATAAACAAAATCTGGCTACCAGTATTAAAAAATTCTAAAATTGCAACAGCAAAAACAGCAGAGAGAAAAACAGGCAGGGACATCTAATCACCTTTCAAGAAGAGTTTGCTCCAGGCACAGTCAGCCCATTGTATGCTAATCAAGGTGGTCAGTTGAAAGATCCACACCTAGCCCAACTGACAAAAGCCCTTTGTCTCACCCTGGTCATTCCACAGATATATAAACCCCTTTTTTCCCAGTTCCAGCAGACCTCACCTCTGAGGATGCTTGCCATAGATGCAGGCGAAACGTCAGGAGAAATGCCTCTAGAACATGGCCATATAGCCCGAAAAAACCCACAAGAACTAAATAAATAGGACTTTCAGTTGTTTTTTAAAGGAGAGGAGGGGGGGGGGGTCAGCTTTAGTTCTTTAGGGAGGGAGTTCCAGAGCTGGGGGGGCGACCATGGAGAAGGCCATTTCTCTTGTTCCCACCAGCCATCCCCGGGATGGTTTGTAAGAGGAGATGTGATTGATCAAATAGTCTGGACCTGAGCCATTTAGGGCTTTAAAGTAATGACCACCACTTTAAAGTAATGACCACCACCACCCAGAAGCAGACTAGCAGCCAGCGAAGCATCCGCAACATGGGACTAGATCTCTCCCTGTATGGAGCTCCTGTTAGTAATCTGTCTGCAGATCTCTGAGCCAGTTGAAATTTCTGAATTATCTTCAAAGGCAGCCCCACGTAGAGAGCATTGCAGTAGTCCAAGCAGGATGTGACTAAGGTGTGGACTACCATAGCCAGATCTGGTATCTCAAGGTATGGGCACAGCTGGCGCACAAGTTTTAATTTTGTGAAGGCTCTCCTGGCCACCGCTGACACTTGGGGTTCCAGGGTCAGCAATGAGTCCAGGAACACCCACAGACTGCAAACTTGTGCTTTTGGGGGGGGGGAGTGCAACCCCATCCAGCGCAGGCTGTAACCTCATACCTTGGTCCACCTTCTGACTGACCAGGAGTACCTCTGTCTTGTCTGGATTTAATTTCAATTTATTAGCCCTCATCCAGCCCATCACTGATGACAGGCACTGGTATAGGGGCAGGATGGGATCCTTGATATTAGATGGAAAGGAGTAATAGAGTTGAGTGTTGTCTGCATAGATTTGACACCGCACTCCAAAACTCCGGATGATCTTTCCCAGCAGTTTCATGAAAATTTTGAACAGCACGGAGGACAGAATTGAACCCTGAGGGACCCCACAGGCCATAGGCCAAGGAGTCGAACAGGAGTCCCCCAGCTCCACCTTCTGGGTATGATCCTCCATGGCCAACACAAATAAGTCACAAAACTACAAACATTCCCCCGCCTCCCTATATTTCTTCCTGGAATGTAACTTGGGCAGAGTGGGGGTGGGGTATGTATCAGTTTTTGCAAACAGAGATTTCCTCTCTCCAGAGTGATTTCAGAAAGAATCTCAGTCTATTTAGATCATTCTGTAAATTATCTAAAGTGGCTTAGTCGAGTTCAGGATTAATCTATTCTAAACTAATTCCAAATTTAGAGAGTTACTCCCAATAGAATACGAGGTATATTGCTATATTGTTTCTATGATCCTGGTGCAGATTTTCAGAATCATTAATAACGTACTCTCATTTCTTGACCTGGAGCCCCTGGTGGCGCAGTGGGTTAAACTGCTGAGTTGCTGAACTTGGTGGGTTAAAAGTTGCCAGTTCAAATCCGGGCAGCAGGGTGAGTGCCCACTGTTAGCCCCAACTTCTGCCAACCTAGCAATTAGAAAACATGCAAATGTAAGTAGATCAGTAGGTACTGCTTCTGTGGGAAGGTAACAGTGCTCCATGCAGTCATGCTGGCCATATGACCTAGGAGGCATCTTCGGACAACGCCGGCTCTTTGACTTATAAATGGAGATGAGCACCACCCCCGAGAGTTGGACATGACTGGACTTAATGTAACTTAAACCTTTAGGATATCCAGTATGGTATCATGATTTGAACATTAGACTACAAATCTGAAAACAGGTTCGATCTCCCATTTGGTCATGAAAATATATTGAGTGACCTTGGGCTAGTAATATTCTCCTCCCCAAACATTATAGGGTCATCTCAGGTTCACCATAAATCAGAAATGTCTTGGAAGCACTTAACAAGAAGCAGAAGCATAAACCTTTAACCTGCTAAATGGCAGAAGGATGTTTCTATAGAACATTGTTTTCTATATATATATATAGAGAGAGAGAGAGAGAGAGAGAGAGGGAGAGGGAGAGGGAGAGGGATAGATAGACACACACACACACACACATTCTGCCAAGTTGTGGAAGATTCTTTATCTCTAAAGCAACACAATTTCCATTGCTCTCCTCTACCAATCTTTCAAACCTTTCCCTTGTATTCCATTTACAGCTCCTTTCCAAGAGTGTGTAGAGGTCAGGAACAGCAGTAAGGGTGGGCTTAGATTTGCAGAGAGCTTCCTGAGTGTCTGCTTTCTATAGCACAGCTTTCTTTATTGGTACCTGGGGACTGGTGTAGATTTTCTTCCATTGCTTTGAAAGCATAATATCAGTACCTTTCTCTTCACAGTACCTTCAGAAGCAAAAGCATTTGGGAGTGAGGGTGTGAGAAGTTGAAAATAATTGCAGTGGGGTTTGGCTCTGCCACTAAATACTGTGTGAAAGCACAGGCAGAAGGAGGTTTGATTACGTAATTCGGCACACTAACAAAAATATAGGAACTGTGGAAATATATATTTTTTGAAAAATTGATATCAGAGCCAAGAAAAATCATTTGACAATTAAATATTTTGGAATAAAGTGAACATTCTACAGTATTAATTTTATTAGTTATACGTTTTATATGTAGCAGTGAAAACCAACAACTAACCATAATCTTTATATGGCATAATTGGGAATAACAATACTGGTAAACAAAAGAGTCAAAATTAAACATTTGAGATACCTTGGAATGTTATAATGCTGTTGTGAGAACTAATTTTATTTTGTAGAAAGTTTTAATAAGTTGTCCCCATATATTTTATTATTTCTCCTTTTCCTTACTTTCAGTACCAGCAAGTGATTGGTATCAATGCTTTACTTTTATTTAAAGCTTTTCTTTTGTAATAACTTTGGAAATAAAATGTGTAGGTTTGCACAAATAGGCTATTACAGATTGAAAAACATTCTAGCTATTACAAGAGCAAATTTTGCAATTCATATTCAAAATTTTGTTTTGGACTGTTGTCTTTGTACTATCAGCAGTCTCTCCTGTAATTCCTAGGAGCATTAACTCTCTGATAATGGGAGTTTGGATTTAATGTCTTGACATTCTACAGAAATAGATAATCCCTGTTTACATGAGGCAGCCTTGTATACAGGATGAAGGAAGGGATAATGGCTAGAAATACTGCGATTGCTGGGATATTTTTCTCTCTCTCTTTGCCATGGGCATTGATGCACCAAGTTAGTCTGTTTTTCATTTTTCTTGAGTGAATAAGTTAGAAATGTTAAAACAATGCAGAGTATAATTTAACATTGCTTTCATGTTTAGAGTTTCTCATTTGGTATTTTTGTGAGTAGATCTGCAATGTTTTCATTCCCTTTTCATTTACAGAATACGAGATTTTGGAGTTTATATATTTATGCTTAGCAACACAGGTTGACTATCTCTTATCCAGAAATCTGAAATCCAAACTGTTCCAAAATCATTACAATGGGTGGCTCAGATAAGGACACCTTTGCTTTCTGATTGTTTAATATACATAAACTGTTTCATGCAAAATTATTGCAAAGTACATTCTCACTATATCTATAAGGTGTATATGAAACATAAACGAATTCCGTGTTTAGATTTGTGCCCCATTTCCATGATATCTCATTATGTACATTTAGGCAAATACTTTTATTTCAAAATCCCAAAAATCAAAATCAAAAACATTTCTGGTACCAAGCATTTTGGATAAAGGATACTTAACCTGTAATGTATAACCTGATAATGTATGTTTATTTTGTGTGTCCGCAAATTACAGGTTGCCTGTTCTTATGTTGTGTATGTGTGTGCTTCATTTCCTTTTCTGTTTGTTAAACAGACATTGATGAATGTTCAGATGGCTTTGTTCAATGCGACAGCCGGGCCACCTGCATTAACCTACCTGGATGGTACCACTGTGAGTGTAGGGACGGCTACCATGATAATGGCATGTTTTCACCTAGTGGAGAGTCATGTGAAGGTCGGTAAAAGGAGAAGCATCTCATGTTCTTTTGTTATGATTTCTGTTTGTGTAATGCTCAGCGTGTTCAGCTTGAACTGAAAATTCATTGTCCTAAAATGTAACAATGCTTTCTAACTCACAGTTTACACTGTGAATAACAAAATGAGGCAAATGGAAAAATTAAAAAAAAAGATTAAAAGCTACAGTTACAGACAAGATGCTTAATTATTAATTCACATTTACACAGAAATTATATCATTGAAGACTATTTATCTATAGCCACCTTCACATACTTCCATCATACCTAAAAGGACAACCTTGCAAAAGTCAATTCAGAATGAAGATCAATTGATAAGATAGTGTTAGCATGTGGATTTGTTTACCTGCTTACCATCATCACCATATATACAGGAACAATCTGGATGGGGTACAAGGAAGATGGGCCTAAATTTATCACCTAGAAGCATATATGTAAGACACTGAAGATTGCACATTATAAAACGATATGGAACCTATAATAAATGAATATCAGGGAAAACATGGCAGAAAAATTGCCTGTCTTTTCCTCCCTCCTCCTTCTTCCTATATCCATCTGGTGCCTATAAAACATCTTGAACAACATGGGATGCGGAGGAAGAAAAATTATTCTGGACTGAGTTAGGATCCTTAGATAATTTAACAGAAATTTACATGGATTTCCCTCATTTTCATTGCAGCACCCTCTCCCTATGTCCCACTAGGAGGGCCCCCAGGAGAGTCTCAAATACTTTTCAGAGGTTTTGCATCTAGCATAGCAATCAAGAAAACCAATTTGGACACTTGATTTCTTCCAGCATGGTAACCTCCTAATATCAACCTCTACATTACCTTCTTGAGTAAAGCTTCTTACTCTGATGGAGAGAATTAACTGCTCACTGAGTGTCTGGTTTTGTGGGTCCTTAGGGCCCTTCTACACAGCCGTATAACCCAGAATATCAAGGTGGAGAATCCCACAATATCTGCTTTGAACAGGGATATCTGAGTCCATACTGCCATATATTCCAGTTCAAAGCAGATAATGTGGGATTTTATTCAGCTTTGTGGAAGGGACTTTAGATTGAATCTTTATGGGAGAGGCAGGTATGATTAGAAAATAAGTAATCTGTCTGGTGGCATTGCTACGTTTCCAGATCTGGTGAAACTACTGTAGATATCATCATCATCACTGCCACATTATTCTTTATCATGTGAAGAAGAACCAATCCTGTTCTTCTTTGGATGTGTGAATAGTGATTGACTAGGTGACCAGGATTAGGTGGGGTAGAGAGCCATCTGCGGTGATATTTTACTTTGCTGATGGCTAAGTTCTGGAGAGCAGCATAAGTCATCACTAGCAGCTCTCCAAAGTAGCAAAGTCCTATGAGAGTGGGAATGAAGTAGCAAATTTGCTGTCCCCAATACCCTACTGCCCTGTCTGTGTGTTCATGTAGTTTGCAACATTTGAACAAATTTTGTAGAATTTTGTATGGAGATGCATGTAAGCAGGCTCTACTCAAATATTATATCCCCTCTCCATGTTGGGTGTGAGATGGTTTCATTAGGATGGTAGAGGTATTTAAATTACTTCTATGGGCAGCAGAGGTACAACAGGTCGAGCTCTTCTTATCTAGAAATCTGAAATACAGAAACTCTAAAACCTGAAACTTTTTTCCTGTCAGCCAGTCAATTCCACATATCCAGTGCTTGCTGGTTTTTCAATAGCGAGCCTTTGGTTCACCACTGTTGGGGAAGTGGTGGGGGAATGATGGTGGATGGGGGAAGACTCACAAGCCCTGCAGCTTTTCTCTTGCAAAACCTTTTGTAAAGGGAGGACATCCCAGATACTTCTGTGCTTGTTTTCCACCCAGCCAATGGCAGAGCATGGTTGGATGAGCGCTCTGGAAATAGGTCACAAGGGTGAATATGAAGCAACTCTGTTGTGCACTGCCTGTATCCAGCACAGAAAAATGAAAAAGACTCATGAGGTTGGGAGCTCAGTTCCCAGTTACTTTACTAAAACGACGAAAATAGTGCTGACAGCCAGGGGCTTCTGTCTTTTGCAGGGGCCTTATGTAAGTGTAGTCCACCCCTCCCCTCCTCTGTCTCCTCTCTTTTTTCCATCAGGTTTCTGGCAGTGATAGAGAAGGGGTTCCTTGAAAGAGAGCTCAATGAGTACTGGACACACGACTAGCCCCCTTTATTCCCTATCCCTCACTCATGGTGTATAAGCAAATTCAGGAAGTGTATTTCAAAGGATGGGATGGGGGGAATCAAAATCCCCAAAATTTCTGGTCCCAAGAATTTTGGATAAGGAGATTGTATCTCCCTCCTAGCATGTGGGATAGATCTGATTCTATTCCTCTATAGCAGGGGTCCACAAACTTTTTAAACAGAGGGCCACTTCACAATCCCTCAGACTGTTGGCGGGCCGGATTATAATCGAAAAAATCATGCACACTTCAAATATCTTATTTGTAGTGCAAAAAACATTTTAAAACAATACAATTTTAACAAATATAAACTTATTAGTATTTCAATGGAAAGTGTGGCCCTGCTTTTGGCTGATGAGATAGGATTGTTGTTGTTATTGTGTGCTTTCAAGTAGTTTCATACTGAGCTTGACCCAGAGCGAGGGCCGGGTAAATGACCTTGGAGGGCCGCATCCGGCCCCCGGGCCTTAGTTTGAGGACCCCTGCTCTATAGGTTATTCCTGTCTCACTAGCAAATAGTGTCTTCAAATGACCACCATGGAAGCATTGTACTATAACTATAGGCATTATTTACCTTTTCTCTCCCACACACACATACCAGTTAACATCTTAGGGGTACATAGGATGTACAGGAAATCTTAGCCATGCAGTCATTCTTAAAAATCAAACACTGAGTTTTGTGCATTTCTTATTTTTCTTTGCACATACTTAATGATAGAATATATTATTTAAGTATACATTTTAAGGAACCCTCCCAATGTACTATAAAACTGCTTCTACCTATGGGGTAATATTATGCTGCTTTTACTATTTGTGGAAATACTGCATTTAGGAAGGAGGCAATTTGAGCAGCAGTACTGCGAGCTTAGAAATACTGAGATTGTTGGGTGCTGTTGCAAATGGCATTATATGGAACAGCAGCAGGTTAGTGGGCATGCCGTTATTTTAAGATGCAGCTATTCCAAAATAAAACATCTAGTTGTTAGTATTTATTCATAGGCTTTGGGCTGAACTTAAAGAAGACAATGTAGTATGTTCCATTATAGTCTATTTACACCACTCTGAGAAGAGAGGGGGATACTCGTCTTCTATAACCTACATTTCAAACATCCTCTCAATGCTTTGGTGTCATTGACTGTCCAGAAGCTGTACATAATCAATTTTACAGGAGAAAGGAAGGATGAAATTACCCCTTTTCCTCTCTGAATTCCCATTTCTTCAGAATCAGAAGGAATAGTTTGTCTGAATCCACTTCTAGAGAGGAAAAGCTCCTAAACGAATGCTAACTTCTACAGGAATACGCAGGGCTATTTCATGGATTGCCTCATGAGATAAATGTATCAGAAACGTATCAGAAACAAAATTCTGTTATGTCAACCAACCAAGCTTATTCTCAAGTATAGTTTGATTTCAAGTTAATCTTTTTTTTAAAAAAAGACGGAGTGTGTGTACACATGTTCGTGCACAGGAGTATGTACAAACATTACAATAAAGATAACAGGGTTAAATCCTTGTGCTGGCAGGACTGAAGACCGACAGGTCAGAGGTTCGAATCCAGAGGGAGCATGGATGAGCTCCCTCTGTCAGCTCCAGCTGCCTATGAGATGACATGAGAGAAGCCTCCCACAAGGATGGTAAAACATCAAAAAACATCCGGGCGTCCCCTGGGCATCATCCTTGCAGCGGGCCAATTCTCTCACACCAGAAGTGATTTGCAGTTTCTCAAGTCACTCCTGCCATGAAAAAAAAAAGTTGGCAGGTTGTAATGCAAATGTATTGAATTCAGTTCTAAAATATGAGCAATTAAGAAAATCAATTAAAACTTTTAATTCAAATCTGTTTGCCAATTTACAGGAATAGGGATATTCTAACCCCAGTTTGTCACAATGTGATAGCTGATGAGGAATTCACTTTGGGTTTTAGTTTAAAGTAGCTGTCCAATGTGCTGAGTGCTGTGCCCAAAGTAATTCAGCACCATGGAAACCTCTTTAAGTTGAGACTAGGGTAGATTCATTGCACCATTACCATGGAAGCCACCAGTTTCCACTGATTCGATACAGAGAAGGAATTGGGCTGTTCTTCCCTTCCATCTCCTGGTGAAGCCCTCTGAGGCATAAAAGACCTACTACAGGTCATAGTCCTCTGAAGCAGATTTCTTGGAGTATGGAAGGGAAAGGAGAAATAACTGAGTTGGCTGTTATTGAGAAATCCAGTTGGATCCAGCAGAAGTATATTGTTGATTCAGTTATATTGGCATAACTTTATACCACAGCAAGATTTTTGGGATCCATAGAAACATCATTTATTATTCCTTGGATGTCAATACTTCTCTCCAAAATGCAGAACTAATACAACAGCACCTGAAGATATAAAACAGGCCAAAAACTGAAGAACATCTCTAATAGATGCTTTGGTATTTTATGACACATCTGATATAACTCTACGGAATAAAGTACCACTAGTATATTAGCCTTTTCAAAAAGAGAAAACAATGTTGATGACATATTTTATTCACCTAGTCCCATTCTCCCTGGTAATATACAACATGCAAGTAAGTTCAAAATACTTTTTACCTGAGAAACCATGGGTATTCTTAAAATATTTATAACAGGTGTCACAATAAAAACAAAAGGCACACACGGAAAGCCTCAACTGAAGTATCTGGATGAGATGTGCTCTCAATTCAAAAAATGGGGCACTATAACGAAAAGAGGAAATAGTGGCTGTCCTTGAGAATATGTCTGATATGTTGGAAGAAACAGTATCCTAATACCAATTCCAAGCAGACTCTTCTCACAGCTCACCAATTAATAATAAGCTGACTCTTAATAAATATTCAGTGTAATTAATTACTATTCATTTAATAATTAAACTCATCAATCAAATAAAAGTGCTTTTTGAGAACCACTCATGCTCATGACAACAGCATTAAAATTGAGTTCTTTTGGTATAAACCCAAAAATCAAGATGTAGGTTTCATACCTGCTATAACTTGACATTCCAAACTTGTACACAAGTTCCTTACCTTTTGAGGAACTGGCTACCTTTACAATGTGTCTTCAGAGATGCCCTGTTTCAGACTCATATGTGTCTATCACTCTCAAAGCAACTGAACCAAAGCACTCTATGAGGTAGAAACTACAGCGTATTCGTGTTCTGTATCTTTTAAAACTGACATGGGAGAGATAATACTGACACACTTCCCCGTGCAAGGATTGATGGTCATTCCAAGACCTGGCTCCTCTTTTCCTTCCTTACTCTCCCTCCTTCCTTTTGCTGTATTCAGCAATACTTGACACTCTCTTTGGTTCTGGCATTTTCAGTGTTTATGGTTCTCCAGTTATAGCTGTAAACAAAATGTCAGCAGCATAATTCACTCACGGTGCCAGTTTGCTACTAGCCCAAAATCAAAGCACTAAAACAAGTTCTTGCAGAAATAGATGATTTGTGGTGTCATATTTTGCAGATAATGACTTCTAAGTGTGATGCTGCTACATAATGCAGATGGACATTTCATTTGCTCAGGTTTCACATTAATGTTGAGACCTTCATTTTTAGTTGTTTTGATTTTTACGATTAGGGACAATATTTCCAGAGAGAGACATACTCAGTTCCACTATTTAAAATTAAGTTATTTATTTCTTTAATCAAGTACTTATGCAGTAAAGTGCAGTTGTTTCTGCCTTTATTTTGAAATATGACTTCCCATCTGTCTGCCTAAAGGTCTGAAAAGTCTTAAAATACTCGAAGTATAATTTAAGAAAAGTTAAAACATGTAAGAATGGATGTAGGCGAACTACAACTCCAAAACTCAAGGTCTATGCCCACCAAACACTTCCAGTATTTTCTGTTGGTCATGGAAGTTCTGTGTGCCAAGTTTGGTTCAATTCCATCATTCGTGGAGTTCAGAATGCTCTTTGATTGTAGGTTAACGATAAATCCCAGCAACTACAACTCTCAAATGACAAAATCAACCCCTCCACAACCCCACCAGTATTTAAATTTGGGTGTATTCGGTATTTGTGCCAAATTTGGTCCAGTGAATGAAAATATATCCTGCATATCAGACATTTACATGACAATTCATAACAGTGGTAAAATTACAGTTATGAAGTGGCAACAAAAGTAATTTTATGGTCGGGGGTCACGACAACATGAGGAATTGTATTAAGGGGCTGCAGCATTAGGAAGGTTGAGAAGCACTGAGATATAATTTTACCTAGAACTAATGACATTTTACCTAGACCCAGTGGGATTTACCCAAGGTCCATTAACTTCATCAGGTTTTCTCTATATATGATAAATCTAGATCAAGCAAGATTATTTAAAGATGCTCTAGGGAAATCTGCCAAGGCATCCAAGAATTCTCTTTTTTAATCTGAAGATAGATATGACTGTAGAAAAGTTCCAACTTTAAGACTCCATTAGAGATCATGGCATGTGTGAGAGAACATATGGGAATACAGGTTTATAAATGAACTGCTGATTTTTACTGACTTCACTCTGTAGGACTCAACATACTCATTACCCAGTCAAAGGGTGTGTCTATGCAGTAGAATCGATACAGTTTGAGACCACTTTAAATGCCATGGCCCAAGGCTATAAACTCATAGTAGTTGTAGCTTTATAAGGCCTTTAGCTTTCTGTGTCAAAGTGTGCTGGTGCCTTATCAGACTACAAATTTCTGGAGATGGAGCTCACCCCATCTCATTAATTTAAACCACTGAACTTCAGGTCAGCAGTTTAGCCGGCACAAGGGTTTGACCCATTGCGCCACCATGGCGCCTCCCATAATACTGAACCATGACAGTTAGTTGTTTCAAACTGCATTCATTACACAGTGCAGATGCACCCTTAGTCATATTCGTTATGTTGACTCTTTTTGATCAGGAAAAAAACCCCAAACCTCTATTAGCACGTGGGTGTAATTTATTTTGGAGACTTGTTTTCTAAGGCAGTTCAATGTGGGGAGCACTAAACATACCTTTGAGATATCCAAAGCCCTCTTTATGGGAAAGAGAGAAATGCACTTTTTTTTTTCATCAGAATTTTTAAAAACTGAGCTCTAGGAACTGAGCAAACTTATTCTATGCTGAATGCTTATTTATCGGTCCAGTAATTCCTCTAATTTACCCACACCATATCCCCAGCTTCCTTTCTCTTTCATTTCTCAGTGATAGAGATGTGTTTTGACTGTGTTGTACCTTACCTCAAGCCATGGATAAGAGAGAATAATAGTAGCCCTACTGCCTTAGAGATAAAAGCTGTGGATGTTTCCATGGGGCAGGGAGGCAGCATTCATATTATGATATCCCCCTTAAAGTCTGCATTCTTATAGAGATATATGAATGATCCCATGGCTTCTGGGCCTGATACTTTCTCAAGGGTCCCAAATCAAGGTTTATGCCTTAGTTAATTGGAAAGTAAACTTTCCTTGCATTGGTCTCAATGAATATCCTATTCAAATGCCATTTTTAGAATAAGTTGTAATTCACGATGAAACTTGGTTTATTGCTAGATTCAATGTTCAAGTTTTTGGATTTTGCTTATATGTGAGACATTATTTTTATTGAAATCTTTTTTACGGCTGTCCTCCTGTTTTAAAAGGCTGCAGAAATATAAAGAAACCTGATTTTTCTTCAGTTTCTCCAAGCCTTTAAAAATGAAAGGCATCATGCTATTTTATATATGTATGTGCATAAGCAATGCCTTGCTGAAATATAGATCTATAAAGTTTTCTGCAGTTTCTGGAAAGTAATCCTTCCATCGATTTAGTTTTATTGCTACGAATACTTCATGTTGTCCTTTATTACGTATTAGCTGGAAGGATGCTCGATGTTTCTACAACTTGAATATGAATCTATTAAAGATGATAGCTTAGATAGATTTTGTTAGGACTGAATTTAATTATGGTTAAAGCAAACATATAGATGGATTCTGAGTACGCCTTAACAAAGGATTTTGAAATAATGCCTTTGTTTTGCAGAGCTGCCTCTTTTAATGGTAGGCTAATTGCTAACACATTTTAATATGTTGCTATAAGTAACTTCCTTTCTTGATGCCAGTGCTATTTGTTGTACAAAACTAGAATTGTTTTCCTCTCTCTCAGGCACAATAGCTTAAAAAATTGACATTGTAATCACAGCATTTATTTTCACTTAAAATTAATTGGTTATGAATCTACACTGTTATTTCTATTTAATTTAAAACTCAAGTGTTTTAAATATGTGTGGGTTGTAATATATATATATATATATATATATATATATATATACACACACACACACACACACACACACACACACACACACACACACATTTAGACTGGGGATAAGCTAGAATGCAAACAAGACCTTAATGGTGGAAGATCATTCTTGTTGACTGTAACCAAGCCAGTTGTTATTATTGACTGAAATCTAAAACCATCCCATGACCTCTTCTTGCAGACATTGATGAATGTGCAACTGGGAGGCACGGTTGTGCCAACGATACAATTTGTTTTAACTTGGATGGTGGCTATGACTGCCGGTGTCCTCATGGGAAGAACTGCACAGGAGACTGTGTTCATGAAGGCAAAATCAAGCACAATGGACAGATCTGGGTTTTGGAGAATGATAGGTGCTCTGTCTGTTCCTGCCAGGTAAGCCTGATCAGTGTTGACACCATGGAGGAAGGAAGAGACGGGGACACAAAGGGCAAGAGTGGAAAATGGAAAATAATATACAGCGTAAACATCAAAATGCTAGAGCCATTATTGATTATTTATGTATTTAATTATATTCTGCTTTCATCAAGCCCTGGGATTCAAGATACAGATAAAATCTCAAATCAGTAAAGACATACCCAAAAGCAATTTGATTAAATTATCAATGAAAAGCAATTCAAAAATATATTCACTTAAAATTGTGAGATAAAAACATTACACTACAAAACTTTAAAAAGTCCCCAAAGGTCTCTTGAAGCAAAAATGGCTTCACTGGAAGGAAATCATGGAAGACGCTATAGCAGCCTCTTCCAGAAGGGAGTTCCTTAAAGCAGTCACTGAGAAAGTATGTATGTGTTTGCTCACTGAGACTAAAATTAAAATTAACCGTATTACCAGCAGGCTGGAGCCCCCTGTGGCAGAATGGGTTAAACACTTGTGCCAACAGGATTCTGACCAACAGGTCAGTGGTTCTAATCCAGGGAGAGTGGGTTGAGCTCCCTCAGTCAGATCCAGCACCCCATGCAAGGACATGAGAGAAACTTCCCACAAGGATGGTAAAACATTAAACATCCGGGCGTCCCCTGGGCAGCATCCTTGCAGACGGCCGATTCTCTCACACCAGAAATGACTTGCAGTTTTGCAAGTTGCTCCTGACATGGAAACAAACAAACAAATAAACAAACAAACAAACAAAAACAGCAGACTTACCCAAATGAGCTGTTTCAGTGGCTTTCAAATTTTGGTCCTCCAGAATTCTTGACCAAATCAACGAGGACTTGTGAAAGTTGAAGTCCAAAATATGTGGAGGATCAAATATTAGAAATCGCAACCTTCCAGGTCATTGAAATAAAAATATTATTGACAGTGAACTTAGTTTTTCAACAATATTTAAACTATTAAACATAAACTATTATGTTATAAGCTAGTATAGACATAAAATGAAAATTATTTACTTAATTTCTAATTATTGTATCGTTGCATGTGTTCTGTTTTGCAATGACAGACTGGATATGTAATGTGTCGACGCATGGTCTGTGACTGTGAGAATCCCACTGTTGACTTATTCTGCTGTCCTGAATGTGACCCAAGGCTGAGTAGTCAGTGTTTACATCAAAACGGGGAGATCTTATACAACAGTGGAGACACTTGGGTTCAAAACTGTCAACAGTGTCGATGTTTGGTAAGTCTTTCTATCTTAATAAGTAAGTCAAAATAATTTGCAATTTATTATAATTTAATTTTGTTCTTGTTCTTGTATTAATTCAATCAGTTTTATGTATTTGATATTTTTATTGGTCAAGCTATCATAGACTAAAAATATCAAATATTTTGACTCTCAGCATGCCTTGCTGATTTCCCCTCCTCCGGATGACAGATGGATATGATGCATCTATAGGATGCATGTTGTCAATCATGGTTGAAATGTTTATTTATTTATTTATTTGCTTTATTTCTATACCGCGTTTATGAAGTTTATGAAGACTAGTAAATATCTGCACACATGGAAAGGGAGTACATTGTAAATATTCATATTCATCCATATAATAAAACTCCAGTCACACTGCACAAAGAAAAATTCCCCAAGTCCTAGCAAGTGAACTACATTGAAGGCTTATTGAAATCAGTGAAACCATGTGAACAGTTCCTTGTTTAATTATATTGATGATGCATGTGATTTAAAACATTTTCTAAGCAGGAGCCATTGCTCTTTAGTGCCCATTGTTTCTTTTTTAGACATTGCAAAAGCATTCAAATTACAATCCTCTACTGATTTTCCAGAAGCATCCCTGCTGCCAGATTGCATATAATACTAAAACTACAGAATATAAAATAGGCAAATTATTCAGGTATATTTATTTTAGATAAAGGTGGCAAGTCAGTCCTCCAGATGTAGTTGAACCACAGATCACAGCAGCCCTTGCCTTCATAGTACTGATGAGAAATGCTGGGTGTTACAATCCATCAATGTCTGGAGGGCTACATACTTCCCACTGCTGTTTTAGCCACTTGCACTTTCCAGCTATGATAATAATTATTTGGAGAATGATAAAATGTGTTACTGGCTTTTTGGTAAAGATCCAGAATTGCATGTCTGTTTTACTGCAGGAACCTCAGCAGGAGTCTGCTCCAGGAAGATGCATCTTAGCAATGATATGAGACAGCTGTATACACACTGTACTGTAAAAGAATTAACTATTCTGATTAATGTTCTATGTGACTATTTTAGCATGTAGGCTAAATTTCCTTTAGTTTTATAGCAATCCATTAGTTTTAAAAGGAAACATGATGTTGACGTAAATAACAAGAATTTCAACAAATTAATAAAGAACAACAAAGATGATACCTTTGATGTTTCTCTTTCTGTTTTTGATAGCAGGGTGAAGTTGACTGTTGGCCCTTGCCTTGTCCAGAAACAGAGTGTGAGTTCAGTGTGCTCCCTGAGAATGAGTGCTGCCCTCACTGTGTCACTGACCCTTGTCAAGCAGACACCATTAGGAATGATATCACCAAGACGTGTCTGGATGAAACCAATGTAGTCCGCTTCACTGGATCATCCTGGATTAAGCATGGCACAGAATGCACCCTCTGCCAGTGCAAGGTAAAGAAGAAGAGAAAGCAATAGAGGTTTGAGTATCCCTTATCCTTAATTCCAAAATCTGACATTCTCCAAAATTGCCCCCATGGGTGATTGAAATAGTGGCATTTTTGGTTTATCATAGTTAAATTACTATGGAATTGATATTTATTTATTTGTGGTATTTGTATACTGCCCTTCTCAACCCTGAAGGGGAGTCAAAGTATTTTTTTTTGGTCAAACTAACTGGAGTGCTGTACAGGGAGTGGACATCTCCTATGTTACGGCAGCTCCGCTGGCTACCGGTCTGCTTCCGAGCTAAATACAAAGTACTGGGTGTTACCTATAAAGCCCTTAATGGTTTGGGCCCAGACTATTTGAAAAACTGCATCTCTGCATACAACCAGCACAAGCACTGTGGTCTGCAGAGGAAGCCCTGCTCTCTGACCCACATCCGTCTCAAGCGCAGATGGTGGGAACGAGAAAGGGGGCCTTCTTTGTGATTGCTCCTGGCCTCTGGAACTCCCCTCAAAAACTAAAAATGGCTCTCTCCTTTCTTTTAAAAAGCTTTTAAAAACCCACTTATGCACTTTAGGAGGAGGTGTACTAGTACATCTCTATATATATCCTTGCCTAGATACTGGACACCTACCTCCACCTGTTGGATGTTGTAAACCATCTTAGCTTTTAATGCATTTTAGTCTAATTTTTAAGAGTTTATTATGTTGTAAATGTTTGTGATGTTATGTTTATTTAAGTTTAATTTTTGGTTAGTTTTTATAATTTTATATTGAGATTGTTTTATTCACTGTTTTGATTTATTATTTGTTATTTTCGGCATTGATTGTTTGCCACTTTGTTGCTTTTGCTGGAAACTGCCCTGAGTTCCCTCGAGGAGATAGGGTGGGTTATAAATAATGCATTATTATTATTATTATTATTATTATTATTATTATTATTATTATTATTATTAAATGTATGCAAACATTGTGTCATACACAAAGTTATGAAAGATATTGCATAAAATTACATTCAACCTATGTATATAATGTATATATGTAACAAATGCATTTAATGTTTACACATGGGGTTTCATCTCCAAGAGACCTAATTGTGTAACCCAAGATGCAAAATCCAAAATGCAAAATCCAAAACACAGTGATGCCAAGCATTTTGATAAGGGATACTCAACCTGTACTACAATTGCTGTTTTCTAGATAGTTTGTGGCATATAATATTGGTATGTTTAATCCAGTTGCTAGGGTGTACCCATTTCTACAGTTGCAATACAAAAAGTTGAGTGCTGTTAACACCAGTCATTTCTGCCCAGATAAAGGGGCATTCGAGAATATGATCAACAGTTTGTGTGGTTATCTGCAAGACAGAAATCTCAGAGTCTGTTCAGTGTGTGACCTTGACTTTTTGGAGTTATCTTTCTTGATGTAGAAATATATTAGATCAGCTGTATGATGGATCTTTCTGTTATCATCCTCCTTGCCATCAAATTATTTTTCAAAATCTCTAAACTATGACCTACTACCAAAAAACCCTCTTTTCTGTCAAGAGAAACTAACTACCAAAAACTATCTTGGAGATCTGTGATGATCAAACTCTTTTAATCTTCTGGAGTAAGAGAAATGGAAATACAACCATTGCTTCCTTGCTTTAATGTGAAAGAAATAGTATCCTCATGATAATTTGGGTCTTTAGTATTCCTCAGGGTCAAGAAGAAATATTTCTCTCTGACTCAACAAGAATGATGGGTAATGAAAAACTTATATGGACCCCGCAAACCTGAAAAATACATAAGGGAAAGAGCAGTTGGAATAAGCTACTCTCATGTATCCATATACATGGGTGGGAAATAGCATTTTGTAATTTTCACATTGAATTCAATAAAATAGTAATCCTCACTGCCGCCCATTGCCCCCTCTGCTCATGTCCATAGAAAGGGTGCCAAATTCATGTGATAAAATGAAGATCTCCAACCTCCTTTCCCCAGTAATCCCATTGCCTTGATATATTCTGCATAGTTTATATCTGTGTAAATTAATTTGAACATAACACTTTTAACATTCAGTGGATTTGGTGCAAAATAAATCTGCATAGATTTACGCATTTAGCAGACTTACCTGAAATCCCATTGAGTTTACTGCTGAGTCTTATAGAAGGAAAAGAAATTTTAACATTTTTTTTTCTGGTTGGGGAGAATAGGAATATCCAATCACTATTGTTTTACTATTCAGTCTAAATGCTTGGTTTTTCCACATTTCCATCTTATTCATTGTAATAAACAAAACTTGTGAGTGTATACATTACTGTTGTCCACAAACCATGTCTGTGAGCGTGGTTATATATTTTTCTTTAACAAAGTGTTTTCTCTTGCTGGTAAATGAAAATAGTAAGTTAAGGTAGGCTAAAACCTTTCTGTTCAGGCAGGCTTTTAAAGAAGGAGGCTTTTAGGATCAAGTCCATGGGGGAGGGGTGCTGTAGTTTTAGCTATGAACAGATTGTTTTATTGGTATTAATGGCTTTAACTGTTTTTAAATACTACTCATGTTTAATAACATTTTAATGCTTGTATATTTTTAAATTTTTATTGTATTGCATTGGTTTTGCAATACCACTTTGAGAGTATCTGTTTTTAGAGAGAAAAAGCAGGATATAAATAAAATAATAAATCAATAAAGTATAGGTATTTGGGAATGGTCAGCCTACTTGAGGGACCACATCTCCTCTTGTCAGCTCGCAGGAGCCCTGAGATCATCAGAAGAGGCCCTTCTCTTGGTCCCACCACTATCACAAGTACGGTTGGTGGGAATGAGAGAGAGGGCTTTCTCAGTGGTGGCCCTGTGGCTCTGCGACTCCCTCCTCATAATAAGCAGGGCATTTCAGCCTGGCAAGGTTTACACAGCCAAAGTTTTGGAGCTTTGAGATTTTTTGTGCAATGTTTTAAGGACAACCTCAGTGGCCTGAGGCTCAGAGATTTTTAATGTTAATGATAAATGTTGTATTTTTTATGCTCATTTTATATGGTTTATGTAATGTGTTTATGAATGTGTTGGTTTATTGTTTATTTGCTTGAGTTGGGGCACATGATGTGTTCTTGTATTATGAAATTTTTGTTTTTAACCATTTGTTTGTCATTTTGAGTCCCGCCCATAGGAGAAAAGTAAGATATAAATAAATAAATAAATAAATAAATAAATAAATAAATAGACAGGTATTATTTGACAAAGCCCCTCTCAGTACAATCCCACTCCAGGAATGAATTGCAGTATCATATACTACACTGAATAGAAAATGGGCATGACATAGTGGTATGAGTATTCAACTAGGACTTGAAGAGAGGAAGCATTAAATCTACATTTAGCCATGAAAGGCCAATGGGTGACCTTGGACAAATTACATTCTTATAGTGTTAAAGGAAGGCAATCATAAAGCTCCTATGAATAAATCTTGCCAACAAAGCCCTATAATAGGTTGTCTTCAGGGTTGCTGCAAATTGCACTTAACATACAGCAAAAACAAGTGAACATGGTAATGCCCGGAGATGTGTTCTTGACTGTGAGGGTAGGAGTCAAGGTGCTAGTGAAGTCCCAGGACTGGACTTTTTGTAAATGGAGCCAAAATAAACATGGCTCATCCCAACTCTCTTGTATACATGATTCAGAGAATATGAACTGGAAGACATTGATGACTACTGTTTTAATGGTTTTATATGGATTCTTATTATGTGATATTAAATGTTTTTAATTGATATGCATGTATGTATGTTGTGGCATCTAATTGTTGCCAATCTGTATGCCACCCTGAGATGCCTTCAGGCTGAAAAGAATGGGATAAAAATGCTGTAAATAAATAAAATAAATAAATAGACATAAGGTTAAACACACACACACACACACACATGCTGTTTATGCCATTCAAAGAAACACATGCTGTTTATGCCATTCATGTATTTGCATGTGTACATACACTTTTACCAGGAAATGGGACTGAACCTCAGGAAGAAGTTGGGTGGGCGGTTAGGGTACCCCAGCAGCATGACTCCATTTACATTTATAGGCATTGATGTCTCATGTGTTTGTGTTAGAAATGGCTGTATTAGATTATACAGAAATAAAGGGTAGTTCCTGGTCATATTTAAATAGCCTTAAGCAACAACAATATGCCAAAATAGTTTCTTCCATCAGGTGGGCTATGTGCTTTCTTTCTTTAAATCACAATACTATTTCCTAATGGTGTTAAATATTTTAGATTGTGTATTTTAAAACAACACAGAAAGTTCATCCAAATTGGACTAATACTTCATAAAGCATAATACCATAAAACAGAATGTTAATACCCCAGACATTCTTAGAGTGCATCACATGGAAGGTCAAAGCTGCAGGATAAGCGTCTCTAGTGAAGCTACGGCAAAATAGGTTTACACAAAATCCTTTAAGAATTCAGAAAAGCCAGGCATCAGCTAAAGCTGCTTTAATAACAAAACAATTTGAAATTGCAAGTGGAAAAGTGAACACTAGGACTGCAGCCATGGTTTTCCAGGACCCTGACATTTAAAAAGTCATGAAACTAGAGGAACGAATTAACTCAATGCAACCCTATGGACTGCCATCAAAAGCAGCAACGTCTTGCCTCATTTCTCTTCCTTTCTGTAACATTCAAGCTCTCTTAGTATTTTGAAATGTTCTGGGTTTTTTCATCCTTGCCTGTGGCAGATCACAGTCTGTAGCACCACTTGATCATGCTATACAACATCAATAAGCCTCCTTGAAGTCTATGGGATGGTAGCAATGAATTTGATATGCCATTGTTGATTTTGCTAAAGTCCTGTATGACGAACTATATGTTGTTCCTCTTTAACGACAATTGAAAACCAACACTTTTGGTTAGAACTGGTGAGTGCAATAATAAAAATAAAAGAAGAGCTATATTGGATCAGACCAAAAGCCCACGTAAAGCAACAGCCTCGTCATAGAATAGCCAGTCAGTTGCTCAATGCAAGATACAGTCTGGATTCAATATGCAATTGTAGGGAGTAGCTGCTCATATGTACAAGATACCTCCTTTCACATAATCCCCCAAAATACATATGCTGGTGTAACCGAAGATTATGTCAGTGGATTTCACCTACATGACTCTGGCTCATGAGGAAAATGAAACACTCCATCTGCGCTTTCCAAAAGTGGTATGTAGATAGCCCTAGCTGCAGCCCTAGCTTCCATTAACACAGTCATCCACTGAAGGTAAGCCATGGTCAGAATAAATAAAAGAAAGCACTAATTTGCATAGCTCTCATCTAAAACAGTGGAATTCACTGCCACAGATAAATGAATGCAAATTTGGATGACACTAAAAGAGGATCATATGTTAATGCAGTGGTCCTCAACCTATGGGTCCCCAGGTGTTTTGGCCTACAACTCCCAGAAATACCAGCCAGTTTACCCACTGTTAGGATTTCTGGGAGTTGAAAGCCAAAACATCTGGGGGCTCACAGGTAGAGAACCACTGCATTAACATATGATCCTCTTTTAGAGTCATCCAAATTTGCATTCATTTAACTGTGGCAGTGAATTCCACTGTTTTAGATGAGAGCTATGCAAATTAGTGCTTTCTTTTATTTATCCTGACCATGGCTTACCTTCAGTGAATGACTGAATCTAGTGTTACAGGAGAAGAAGAAAATTTCTATATCTGTTTTCCCCCACACTTTGAATAATTTATTATGTTTTGTGTTCTACATTTCAGCAAGACTGGATCTGTAAATGCAGTGCAACATGCATTTCAGTGGCATTTTGGCTAGTAAAACTTGACATCTCATTAAACCTTTTTTAACTTGAGTAAATTTATATTGCAATTGCGAAATATGTTGCTTTGAAATTGGGCCCATCATTTTGAAATACCCTGTACTTTCTGGATGTGCCGAGTTAGAATTGCCTCTAGGTGGCCAGGGAGGGAGACTCATGGTTGTGGTGGTTATTGCATGGTCCCGACCTAAGGCAAATACTTTCACAAGATTTTCTGGGACTGAGAATGTGTAACTTGCCCAGGATCACCCATTGGGCTTTCATGGTCAAATGGGGATTCGAGTGCTGATCTCCAGAGTCATGGCCCAATACTCAAACCACAATACGATGCTGGAAATAATGGAACATTTTTTGAATATTGTTCCAAGTGCTTTTATATAATAATTGTTTATTAATGGCTGGTGTTTTGTGTTAATTTTTGTTTTATCTTAATTTGATATGTTATGCATTTTGTTTATACTTGTATTATTTAATATGTTTTATTTCATGGTTGTAAGCTGCCCCAAGTCCCTTTTTGGGAGATGGGGCAAGGTATAAATGTAGTCCTTCAGTTATTAGTAACAGAGATAGCTCTTGTTTCTGGAACTCCAGATTATTGCTTTGCGATGATCGGGTATGTAGTTGCTATCAGAATAGATATCAGGATTTTCAGAACTTGTTGCTCTTCTGCACAGAGTGAGAGCATTGTCTTGAAAGGGTATGTACATTATCTTCATTACTTAGACTTGGTGTTTTTGAATAGCACACTCGTATTTGTGCAACCATGGTTAATGCTTAATGATGCCATCATGAGGTGCCCCTTGGAAAATCACCAAGATTCACTTTTGAGGAAATCACAGGGGTTCTTTCCCTGGTCTTGGGTTATGGACCTGATACCTCAGGACCTGTGAAAGCCCTGAACTAGTGCCCTAGTATGGATACATGGTTCTCATCATCATGGGTGATCACTCATGGCTGAATATGATTATCTTCCAGAAATTGAGTCATGGAGGTGGATCAGTAAATGACTGAGAAAACCTATTCTGGATCCACACGGTTTTTACAATGCTGATATAGATTTCCAAATAGGAGGCAGTCACGATGAGGGTTTGCTTGATGTGCCTTTGTCATGGCACATTTCTTTTCTTTGTCCTGTATTTGTACCTTTTCAAAATCCATAGCACCATTGGTAACAGCCAACCTCCATTTACAATGCTTGAGTGCCAGTTCTACGTGTTTATACTACACTTCAGTTAGGTTAGCTTTAAGCCCATCTTTTATTGTCCACAGTTTCTGTTCTTAAGATGACAATAAAGTAATTGTTTAGAATGATGGTGGTCGGATATTCAGACAATGTGGCCAGTCCGGTGAAGTTGATGGTGGAGAATAATCATTTTACTGTTTGTGGTCTTTGCTTCTTTCAGAAAGCTGATATTTGTTCACCTGTCCTCCCAAGAGATTTGCAGGATTTTTTTAAGGGAAACATTAATGGAATCTTTCCAGAAGTTGAGAGTGATGATTGTTGATTGACCATGTTTTGCAAGCCCCACAATAGTTTCATAAGCAAGTTTTAATAAACATTAATAAAGAAATGTTCTAATAAACAAGCACTCTCCCCTTTTATTTTTTTAAAAAAGGAATGTTTGTTTGTCTGGGAAGCTAGGAATACAGCTGCATGTATGGACTACTCTGTCTCCATGAACAGGTATGACTTGAAGTGAATATTCTGCCCACCCAGGAATATATCGTAGCTAATTAAATGCCTCATGGACTCAAAGGTTCCTGTTTTATGCTGGTATTCAGAAAAAAGTAAACTAAATTTGCTACTTTAATTTTAACCAGAAGATCAGGTGGAGTTGGATGCAGAATTATTGGACAATATACTGGTTTGATTTGAATCTCAATATTTCCTCAGGCAGACATGTATAAATGTGTGTGTATGTTTTAAACAAAACTTCATGACAAACTGTAAGTTACTTTTTCTTCTATCTCTTTTTTTCCAGAATGGGCATGTTTGTTGTTCGGTGGATCCACAGTGCCTTCAGGAACTGTGAAGCTAATGACAACATACTGCAGGCAGCTTCTGGTTAGAGGATTTTTCTTTGCAAAAGACTTGTAGACCAAAAATTGTACAAAGTCAAAACTGGAGGAAGATCAGTTTTGTCCAGTTTTAAAGTGCAGAAGTGCTTTGAATGGAATGAGCTGTCAGTTTCCTCAGTATGAGTGAAATATGTAAGACTAGGAACAAGTTCAGATGTATAAACCTATGTTTGGGTGTGAGGTGCCTCTTCTGGTTCATTTTGTGTTTGACATCATTCTGTAAGATATTGGACTAATGAGGGGTAGAATGACATGTTGTGCATAAAAATGTCAAAATCCTCAAGCAGGGGAAAGACTTTTAGAGTTTTGGAAATACACCTCATCCATGGACACCAAGTTTTTTAAAACTTACCAATACATGCATATACATCAATTTGCCAGAAATTGGAATAAAAAGGAAGATATCTTTTGGAAACACAGAATGTTGTTGCGATAGATGTACAGCTCTGAAAATTTGATTCCAGTTATTGTTTTAAAACAATGAAATTAAACAATGCACAGGCATGACTACTTAATGTTTTCTGATGGGAGAAATCATCTATATTTCCTTGTTCAGCTGCACTTATTTCTTGATTGAATTTGTTCAGTATAAGCTCGTCCTTGTGCAAAATTTAAATAAATATTTCTCTTACCTTCTGATTTTGAGTTTCTCTCAGTGCTATGGGTTACAGAGACCTATTGCGGTTCTCTCCCTCACAGGAATAGGACAGCATTCATTAGTCTCTCTCTCACTCACACACCCAAGTCTATCTATATGCATATACAGACTGAGGATTCCTTATTTGGAATTTTGAAATCCAAAATCCTAAAAAATAAATAAATCCAAAATTGGCCACATGAGTGGCTCAGACAGGAACACCTTAGATTTCTGATGGTTCAACTTATGCCCATTTACCTCCTCACCTAAGGGGAAGATGTGAATTGTTGGGAAAGGGGTCAGCAGAAGGAGGTGGCAAATGGAATGGGGGCCTGTGCTGTTGTCGGGAGATGGAAGGACAGATAGAGGGGCAGCAGGAATGTCTGCTTGCCTTCTTTAGTGAGCCTTCAAAGTTTTCTAAACTTCCATAAGAACTTGGGAGAGCTTGCACTGGAGTCTCTTAAAGAGGTGAGAAACAAGGTGAAAAATGAACAAAGACAAAAAAAAAATGGCACAACTGAACCCTTTTAGAATGAATATTCATTTATTTTTATCCTTCCCAGTTATTTAGCCACTTGTGCTCCCTCTATTTTATCCGTTTTATACTAATTACAATACAATGCAATACTTTATTACGGTCTCTGACCAGCACAAAGTGGGGCACAAGCACCCTGGAAAGGGAAACAAGCTCCCCACTGAAGCAGTTATTTAAAAAACAAATTAGAAAACAGCTTAAAAATCACAGTTTAAAAACACAGGTTAATGTAACAGGTATGGAACTGAGGTGGGGGGAGACTGATAGGAGGGGTCAAAACATTGGGGAGGGACTAAAGGGATGGGAGGGGCACGTTACAAGTCTAGTAGCATTTAAGTCTAGTAGCATTTATGCTAATTTATTAATGCAATGCTTTTGACATGAAGTAAATTTTTCCCACTCTTTTTACTATAAGCTTAGTAATGTTATCCTTCCAGAATCTCAAAAAGTTTTTTATAAGTTCATTCATTCATTCATATATTTAATTTATATCAAACAAATTCTGTCAATATTGGCTCCAAGGCACTTACAGTATAAGTAAAACAAAAAACAGTTAAAAGTTTAAGAAGCATCATATTATAAACATTAATTGAAAACAGTTTCAAAAAGCATTTGAAACAAGATGATGCTGATGATGATAAAATACGTACAGCACACTCTCTTTAAAAAGCAGTCCTCTGGTGAACAGTTGGCAATGAAAGGCCTGGATAAACTGAAAGATTTTTTGGCTATCAGTGAAAAGGGAGTAGGGATGAGGTCAACTGAGTGTCCTGTGGGAGGGAATTCCACCATCAGGGAATAGCCACCAAGAAGGTAATTTTAGTGGAGTTTTGGTAGTGTTGATGGACTTGTGTTTTAGAATCATAGAATCATAGAATCAAAGAGTTGGAAGAGACCTCATGGGCCATCCAGTCCAACCTGCCAAGAAGCAGGAATATTGCATTCAAATCACCCCTGACAGATGGCCATCCAGCCTCTGTTTAAAAGCTTCCAAAGAAGGAGCCTCCACCACACTCCGGGGCAGAGAGTTCCACTGCTGAACGGCTCTCACAGTCAGGAAGTTCTTCCTAATGTTCAGATGGAATCTCCTCTCTTGTAGTTTGAAGCCATTGTTCCGCGTCCTAGTCTCCAAGGAAGCAGAAAACAGGCTTGCTCCCTCCTCCCTGTGGCTTCCTCTCACATATTTATACATGGCTATCATATCTCCTCTCAGCCTTCTCTTCTTCAGGCTAAACATGCCCAGTTCCCTAAGCCGCTCCTCATAGGGCTTGTTCTCCAGACCCTTGATAATTTTAGTCGCCCTCCTCTGGACACATTCCAGCTTGTCAATATCTCTCTTGAATTGTGGTGCCCAGAATTGGACACAATATTCCAGATGTGGTCTAACCAAAGCAGAATAGAGGGGAGCATTACTTCCTTAGATCTAGACACTATGCTCCTATTGATGCAGGCCAAAATCCCATTGGCTTTTTTTGCCGCCACATCACATTGTTGGCTCATGTTTAACTTGTTGTCCACGAGGACTCCAAGATCTTTTTCACACGTACTGCTCTCGAGCCAGGCGTCCCCCATTCTGTATCTTTGCATTTCATTTTTTCTGCCTAAGTGGAGTATCTTGCATTTGTCACTGTTGAACTTCATTTTGTTAGTTTTGGCCCATCTCTCTAATCTGTCAAGATCGTTTTGAATTCTGCTCCTGTCCTCTGGACTATTGGCTATCCCTCCCAATTTGGTGTCGTCTGCAAACTTGATGATCCTGCCTTCTAGCCCTTCATCTAAGTCATTAATAAAGATGTTGAACAGGACCGGGCCCAGGACGGAACCCTGCGGCACTCCACTTGTCACTTCTTTCCAAGATGAAGAGGAAGCATTAGTGAGCACTCTCTGTGTTCGTCCACTTAACCAATTACAGATCCACCTCACCGTAGTTTTGCCTAGCCTATATTGGACTAGTTTCCTTGCCAGAAGGTCATGAGGGACCTTGTCGAAGGCCTTACTGAAATCCAGGTACGCTACATCCACGGCATTCCCCGCATCTACCCAGCTTGTAGCTCTATCGAAGAAAGAGATCAGATTAGTCTGGCATGACTTGTTTTTGATAAATCCATGTTGACTATTAGCGATGACTGAATTTGTTTCTAAGTGTTTGCAGACCGCTTCCTTAACAATCTTTTCCAGAATCTTGCCCGGTATCGACGTGAGGCTGACCGGACGGTAGTTGTTTGGGTCATCCTTTTTTCCCTTCGTTTTGATTAAAGGGTTTCCATGAAACTATTATGTCTTGGTAGTCATATCAAGTAAACAGCTATTAGTCAATGTATGCACAAATATGCTTTTATCTATATAAATAAAAATGTATGTTTCTTTGTGGGATTAGCATAACTCAAAAACCACTTGACAAATTGACACCAAATTTAGACACAATACACCTATCAGGCGAACAAGTGACCATCACTCATAAAAACACTGAAAAAGACAGCAGAAGAGACTTAAAAAGCCAACCCCCCCCAAATACATTACAACGCATGCGCAAAACCACAGATATATACATAAACACACATATACACAAATATTTATTTATTTATTTATTTATTTACTATTCTTGTATACCGATGTATCTCAAGCCCGAGGGCGACTCACAGCGGTTTCCAAACAGCAAGGACAATAAAAACAGCAATAATCAATATACAAGACAGTTAAATTACACAGTTCCATTAATAACCAATAAGCAATCAACAATACACAATTATCACAAATCCCATCCCCCCGATCGCCTCATCATCCAAACGTGATCCAAATTCGTCGTCATTGTTCCGTTCCTATGTTCACATTACCACACTTGCACTGAATTACTCAAACGCCTGCACAAACATCCAGGTCTTGAGCTTTCTACGGAATGTCATGAGCGATGGTGCCAGCCTAACGTCTACAGGAAGGGCGTTCCACAGCCGAGGAGCCACCACCGAGAAGGCCCTATCCCTCGTCCCCGCCAGCCGTGCTTGAGAGGCCGGCGGGATCGAGAGCAGGGCCTCCCCGGAAGATCTCAAAGTCCTGGTGGGTTCATAGGCCGAGATGCGGTCGGATAGGTAGCTTGGGCCAGAACCGTTTAGGGCTTTAAAGGTCAACACCAGCACTTTGAATTGAGCCCGGTAGCAAATCGGTAGCCAGTGGAGTTGGCGCAACAGGGGGGTTGTATGCTCCCTGCGCTCCGCTCCTGTTAGAATCATGGCTGCCGCGCGTTGGACTAGTTGCAATTTCCGGGCCGTCTTCAAGGGCAGCCCCACGTAGAGAGCGTTGCAGTAGTCTAGGCGGGATGTGACAAGAGCGTGGACTACCGTGGCCAAGTCAGACTTCCCAAGGTACGGGCGCAGCTGGCGCACGAGCCTGAGCTGTGCAAATGCTCCCCTGGTCACCGCCGAGACCTGGGGCTCCAGGCTCAGCGACGAATCCAGGGTCACACCCAAGCTGCGAACCTGTGTCTTCAGAGGGAGTGCGACCCCATCCAACACAGGCTGTAACCCTATACCCTGTTCGGCCTTGCGACTGACCAGGAGTACCTCTGTCTTGTCTGGATTCAACTTCAATTTGTTCGCCCTCATCCAGACCGTCACAGCAGCCAGGCACCGGTTCAGGACCTCGACAGCCTCCTTAGTAGCAGGTGGAAAGGAGTGACAGAGTTGGACATCATCCGCGTACAGATGACACCGTACCCCGAAACTCCGGATGATCTCACCCAGCGGCTTCATGTAGATGTTAAACAGCATGGGAGACAGGATGGAACCCTGAGGAACCCCACAAGACAATGGTTGTGGGGATGAACAGGTGTCCCCCAATAACACCTTCTGGGAACGACCCTCCAGAAATGACCGGAGCCACTGCAGAACAGTACCTCCGAGACCCATTTCCGCAAGGCGCCCCAGAAGGATACCGTGGTCGACGGTATCGAAGGCCGCTGAGAGGTCCAGAAGCACCAACAGGGACACACTCCCCCTGTCGAGCTCCCGGCGCAGATCATCCACTAAGGCGACCAAGACTGTCTCAGTTCCATGTCCCGGTCTGAAACCAGACTGTGCCGAGTCTAGATAATCCGTGTCTCTCAAGAATACCTGGAGTTGTGAGGCCACCACGCTTTCCAGGACTTTGCCCAAAAAGGGGAGATTGGAAACTGGCCGAAAGTTGTCAAATTTAGTGGGGTCTAGTGATGGTTTCTTCAACAGCGGTTTTATTATAGCTTGTTTTAAGATCGCTGGAATTTTGCCTTCCCGAAGGGAGGCATTAACCACCACCTCCACCCACTCAGCCAATCCCCCTGTGGCCTCTTTTAGAAGCCAGGATGGGCAGGGGTCTAGGATGGACGTGGTCGGCCTCATTCCTCCAAGTATCTTGTCCACATCCTCGGGCTTCACCAATTGAAATGAATCCATCAAAATAGGACAAGCAGGTGCTCTTGCTACATCCACAGAGACT